AACGGTCAATCAACTGGTGTAAAGGTTCCTGAGCCTATTGGGCTCTTATCATATCTACACTTGAAACTGTGCATGGAGTCAGCCTCCACCACATCACTGCCTAATGCATTCTATTTGTCAACCACTCTGGTACTAGCAAAGTTCTTTCTAATATCTATGTGGCTCATTTAGGCACTCAGGCTCCTCCTGTGTCCCCTAGTGCATCCCTTGTTTTAAATACCAAGTCTTTATCTACCCTATCAATTCCTTTGAGAATCTTGAATAGGGTGATCATGTCCTCCCTGTGTGGGGGGGGGGGGGCAGAGGCTACCTCAGCCATGAGTGGACCATCGAGAGAGTTTCCAGCTCTCTACTGAAGACACATTCAGACCAAACATTAACCCAGTAGATTTCAAAATAAATTAACGCCCTCAAATTGACTGTAAACATTCAGAGACGACAGAAGCCTTCAGTGAAGGTGTTAGTGATAGCAATGAGCTCTGGCTGTGTGTTCGTATTGAACACACCAACATATTGTTCCAACAGTCTCCTGAACAACCATCTTGTCCCAACAGTCTCCTGAGCAACCATGCTGTTCCAACAGTCTCCTGAGCAACCATGCTGTTCCAACAGTCCCCTGAGCAACCATGCTGTTCCAACAGTCTCCTGAGCAACCATGCTGTTCCAACAGTCTCCTGGCACCATTTTTTTAGTCACTGTTGTCTTTCCTCCCGTTACTGGCTTCTGTTTTACAAGTCATTTTTCATGATCATTTCATTTTCGTGGGAAACTGAATTGAAAACGGAAGTCAAGCTTTTAGTGAGATTCAAGTTGTTCTGCTGCTTTGTTCACTCTCTTATGGATGACAAGTTGTTCTGCTGTTTTGTTCACTCTCTTATGGATGACAAGTTGTTCTGCTGCTTTGTTCACTCTCTTATGGATGACAAGTTGTTCTGCTGCTTTGTTCACTCTCTTATGGATGACAAGTTGTTCTGCTGTTTTGTTCACTCTCTTATGGATGACAAGTTGTTCTGCTGCTTTGTTCACTCTCTTATGGATGACAAGTTGTTCTGCTGCTTTGTTCACTCTCTTATGGATGACAAGTTGTTCTGCTGTTTTGTTCACTCTCTTATGGATGACAAGTTGTTCTGCTGCTTTATTCACTCTCTTATGGATGACAAGTTGTTCTGCTGCTTTGTTCACTCTCTTATGGATGACAAGTTGTTCTGCTGTTTAGTTCACTCTCTTATGGATGACAAGTTGTTCTGCTGCTTTGTTCATTCTCTTATGGATGACAAGTTGTTCTGCTGCTTTGTTCACTCTCTTATGGATGACAAGTTGTTCTGCTGCTTTGTTCACTCTCTTATGGATGACAAGTTGTTCTGCTGCTTTGTTCACTCTCTTATGGATGACAAGTTGTTCTGCTGCTTTGTTCACTCTCTTATGGATAACAAGTTGTTCTGCTGTTTTGTTCACTCTCTTATGGATGACAAGTTGTTCTGCTGCTTTGTTCACTCTCTTATGGATGACAAGTTGTTCTGCTGCTTTGTTCACTCTCTTATGGATGACAAGTTGTTCTGCTGCTTTGTTCATTCTCTTATGGATGACAAGTTGTTCTGCTGCTTTGTTCACTCTCTTATGCAAGACACCAACAGAGGAAGGAGAGACCAATCGTGTTGTTCTCCTTCCATTATTAACATTCAGCAGAATGTAACACACATGTTACAAGCAACACTAACTTGACACTTCTGGAACATAATAGTTGTAAAAACATCTCTCGAACACTTAAATGAAATTAAACCTCATCTATGGAAACACATCTGTGAAACTCTTCACTTGAACCCATGCATAGCACCCATGGAACACACTACTGGAGCAAATCCCTGGGACACACTACTGGAGCATATCCCTGGGACACACTACTGGAGCATATCCCTGGGACACACTACTGGAGCATATCCCTGGGACACACTACTGGAGCATATCCCTGGGACACACTACTGGAGCATATCCCTGGGACACACTACTGGAGCATATCCTGGAACAAAGTACTGGAGCATTCCCTGGAACACAGTACTAGCATATCCCTGGAACACACTACTGGAGCATATCCCTGGGACACACTACTGGATCATATCCCTGGGACACACTACTGGTGCATACCCTGGAACACACTACTGGAACATACCCTGGAACACAGTACTGGAGCATACCCTGGAACAAAGTACTGGAGCATTCCCTGGAACACAGTACTGGAGCATACCCTGGAACACATTACTGGAGCATATCCCTGGAACAAAGTACAGGAGCATATCCCTGGAACACAGTACTGGAGCATACCCTGGAATACAGTACTGGAGCATATCCCTGGAACACAGTACTGGAGCATACCCTGGAACATACTACTGGAGCATACCCTGGAACACAGTACAGAAGCATACCCTGGAACACAGTACTGGAGCATATTCCTGGAACACATTACTGGAGCATACCCTGGCACACAGTAGTGGAGCATACCCTGGAACACAGTATTGGAGCATACCCTGGAACACATTACTGGATCATATCCCTGGAACACATTACTGGAGCATATCCCTGGAACGCATTATTGGAGCATACCTTGGAACACAGTACTGGAGCATACACTGGAACACACTACTGAAGCATATTCCTGGAACAAACTACTGGAGCATTAACTGGAACACATTACTGGAGCATACCCTGAAACACAGTATTGGAGCATATCCCTGGAACACACTACTGGAACATACCATGGAACACACTACTGGAGCATACCTTAGAACACACTATTGGAGCATACCCTGGAACACACAACTGGAGCATACCTTGGAACACACTACTGGAGCACACCTTGGAATACACTACTGGAGCATATCCCTGGAACACACTACTGGAACATACCCTGGAACACACTACTGGAGCATATCCTGGAACACACTACTGGAGCATATCCTGGAACACACTACTGGAACATACCCCTGGAACACACTACTGGAGCATATCCCTGGAACACACTACTGGAGCATATCCTTCGAACACAGTATTGGAGCATATCCCTGGAACACACTACTGGAGCATATCCTTGGAACACGGTACTGGAGCATACCCTTTAACACACTACTGGAGCATATCCCTGGAACACACTACTGGAGCATATCCCTGGAACACACTACTGGAGCATACCCTGGAACACAGTACTGGAGCATATTCCTGGAACACACTACTAGATCATACCCTGGAACTCACTACTGGAGCATACCCTGGAACACACTACTGGAACATACACTGGAACACACTACTGGAGCATACCTTGGAACATACTACTGGAGCATATCCCTGGAACACACTACTGGAACATACCCTAGAACACACTATTGGAGCATACCTTGGAATACACTACTGGAGCATACCTTGGAACACACTACTGGAGAATATCCCTGGAACACTCTACTGGAACATACCCTGGAACACACTACTGGAGCATATCCTGGAACACACTACTGGAGCATATCCTGGAACACACTACTGGAGCATTCCCTGGAACACACTACAGGAGCATATCCCTGGAACACACTTCTGGAGCATATCCCTGGAACACTGTACTGGAGCATAACCCTGGAACACACTACTGGAGCATATCCCTGGAACACACTTCTGGAGCATATCCCTGGAACACTCTACTGGAGCATAACCCTGGAACACACTACTGGAGCATATCCCTGGAACACAGTACTGGAGCATACCCTGGAACACACTAGTGGAGCATATCCCTGGAACACAGTACTGGAGCATATCCCTGGAACACAGTACTGGAGCATACCCTGGAACACAGTACTGGAGCATACCCTGGAACACAGTACTGGAGCATATCCTGGAACACAGTACTGGAGCATACCCTGGAACACACTACTGGAGCATACCCTGGAACACAGTACTGGAGCATACCCTGGAATACAGTACTGGAGCATACCCTGGAACACACTACTGGAGCATACCCTGGAACACAGTACTGGAGCATATCCCTGGAACACAGTACTGGAACATACCCTGGAACACACTACTGGAGCATATCCTGGAACACAGTACTGGAGTATATCCTGGAACACAGTACTGGAGCATACCCAGGAACACAGAACTGGAGCATACCCTGGAACACAGTACTGGAGCATACCCTGGAACACAGTACTGGAGCATATTCCTGTAACACACTACTGGAGCATACCCTGGAACACAGAACTGGAGCATACCCTGGAACACACTACTGGAACATACCCTGGAACAGAGTACTGGAGCATACCCTGGAACACAGAACTGGAGCATACCCTGGAACACTCAACTGGAACATACCCTGGAACACAGTACTGGAGGATACCCTGGAACACAGAACTGGAGCATACCCTGGAACACACTACTGGAACATACCCTGGAACACAGTACTGGAACATACCCTGGAACACACTACTGGAGCATATCCCTGGAACACACTACTGGAGCATACCCTGGAACACAGTACTGGAGCATATCCTTGGAACACAGTACTGGAGCATACCCTGGAACACAGAACTGGAGCATACCCTGGAAATCACTACTGGAACATGCCCTGGAACACAGTACTGGAACATACCCTGGAACACACTACTGGAGCATATCCTGGAACACACTACTGGAGCATACCCTGGAACACACTACTGGAGCATACCCTGGAACACAGTACTGGAGCATATCCTTGGAACACAGTACTGGAGCATACCCTGGAACACACTACTGGAGCATATCCCTGGAACACACTACTGGAGCATATCCTGGAACACACTACTGGAGCATACCCTGGAACACACTACTGGAGCATACCCTGGAACACTGTACTGGAGCATATCCTGGAACACAGTACTGGAGCATACCCTGGAACACTAGCCGGGTTAGGAACGAGTCACAGTGACTGGACTTTGTGTTGCCTGAACACCCGGGGTATCATGGCATAATAATAACGGTACAGAGGACTAAAACGTCGGGAACTGCACAATACCTGGTGGTAAGAGGAACTGCACAATACCTGGTGGTAAGAGGAACTGCACAATACCTGGTGGTGAGAGGAACTGCACAATACCTGGTGTTGTGAGGAACTGCACAATACCTGGTGGTGTGAGGAACTGCACAATACCTGGTGGTAAGAGGACCCGCACAATACCTGGTGGTAAGAGGAACTGCACAATACCTGGTGGTGAGAGGACCCGCACAATACCTGGTGGTGAGAGGACCCGCACAATACATGGTGGTAAGAGGACCCGCACAATACCTGGTGGTGAGAGGAACTGCACAATACCTGGTGGTGAGAGGAACTGCACAATACCTGGTGGTAAGAGGAACTGCACAATACCTGGTGGTAAGAGGAACTGCACAATACCTGGTGGTGAGAGGAACTGCACAATACCTGGTGGTAAGAGGAACTGCACAATACCTGGTGGTAAGAGGAACTGCACAATACCTGGTGGTAAGAGGAACTGCACAATACCTGGTGGTAAGAGGAACTGCACAATACCTGGTGGTAAGAGGACCCGCACAATACCTGGTGGTAAGAGGAACTGCACAATACCTGGTGGTGAGAGGAACTGCACAATACCTGGTGGTAAGAGGAACTGCACAATACCTGGTGGTAAGAGGAACTGCACAATACCTGGTGGTAAGAGGAACCGCACAATACCTGGTGGTAAGAGGAACTGCACAATACCTGGTGGTAAGAGGAACTGCACAATACCTGGTGGTAAGAGGAACTGCACAATACCTGTTGGTAAGAGGAACTGCACAATACCTGGTGGGAAGAGGTACTGCACAATACCTGGTGGGAAGAGGAACTGCACAATACCTGGTGGTAAGAGGAACTGCACAATACCTGGTGGTAAGAGGAACTGCACAATACCTGGTGGTAAGAGGAACTGCACAATACCTGGTGGTGAGAGGAACTGCACAATACCTGGTGGGAAGAGGAACTGCACAATACCTGGTGGTGAGAGGTACTGCACAATACCTGGTGGTGAGAGGTACTGCACAATACCTGGTGGGGAGAGGTACTGCACAATACCTGGTGGTAAGAGGAACTGCACAATACCTGGTGGTAAGAGGAACTGCACAATACCTGGTGGTGAGAGGAACCGCACAATACCTGGTGGTAAGAGGAACTGCACAATACCTGGTGGTGAGAGGAACCGCACAATACCTGGTGGTAAGAGGAACTGCACAATACCTGGTGGTGAGAGGAACTGCACAATACCTGGTGGTGAGAGGTACTGCACAATACCTGGTGGTGAGAGGTACTGCACAATACCTGGTGGGAAGAGGAACCGCACAATACCCAGCAAGAGAATCCTTGAAGTAATGAGACACTTTTGTGTCAGCATTTGTATAATGAGAATAAAAGTGTGATAATGAGGAAGGCGAGAGAGTAACAAGAAAGGGGAGATGGTCACAATGGCACGAGGAAATGGGTGTTATAAAATATTATCAATCTGCCAGACTATGATGTGTTGCGAGAATGACTTTCTCTCACACCTTTCTTGCCAGAAATAACGCAGAATTTACTTTTGTTTAGTTTTTTTTTCTCATTCTCATTTTTGTTTCTCGTTTGCATGAGCAACATATTGCCTGCTGTTGTTGCTGTGTGTGGCTGTGTATACTCGTCATGATATACTCGCTTAGATATGTTTGTAGAGGCGAGCTTCAGCTCCTAAGCTCCGCTTTCTAAGTAAGTGGTTAGATTTCGTGGTGACTTAGTCCATGTATATTTCAACTGGAAGAGATCTGGGTAAATATGTGTTACAGAACACCGCTGTTGATTTACATAGTAAATTATCGGGCACCAAATTATAGGAGGAATCGCATGATTTGTTACAAACGTTAGATAGACCAATTTCACACACAGAGATCACACTAACGTGATGCATCAAATGAACAAATCCACAAGGGCCGTGACGAGGATTCGAACCTGCGTCCGGGAGTATCCCAGACACTGCCTTAATCGACTGAGCTACGACAGGGTAAAAGGGTTGAAACCGAAGTTCTACTGAACTTGCTGGATCCCGTAGCCTCTCCGAGGCACAAACCAGGCTTTTACACAACCCTCCCCCCCTGCACCCGAGCTATGTCAATAGGCCGTTGTGGATTTGTTCATTTAATAGACCAATTTGTTGCCTGGTATTGCTCAGCTGCTCATGCTCACTTCCTTCTGTTAATCTTGTTTTGCTCTAATATTTAATTTTCAATCTGCGTATTGAGCTTGCTTTAGCAACGTACTGTTGAAAGCTCTGTTATTAGTTAACAACCGTTTTGTTGAATACTTTCTTGCAACATTGTGTCATTTGTTTCAAATTTGTTTCATAATGTTCGAATCTCGTCATACATTCTTAGAATTCATCTAAGAATACGTTCTTAGAAAAGCTCTGTCGCTCCGTATACTGCATATTTGTCCACTATGTTGATTCATCGTTGAACTTGTTGCTGGGTTATCATGTCCCTCATCTTCCCTCCTCCTGTGTAGCGAGGTTTAGTTCTCTCAACACTCCACTCTAGTTGAGTCCTCTCGTGTGTTGGTAATAATGCTTTACTCCACATTTCCGTCGTGTTTTGTCTTATTCGATTTATAGATGAGTTGTCAGTGCTGGTGCAGCATCAGAGGCGAGTCTGACGTCCTCTGCAGTATTTTAAAGACTGCCTTGGTTCCATTCCTGTAGCAATGGATGATATTCGTCAGTTGTGCAAGTGCTGCTGACAGGTTCCTGGTCCTGTACACTACTGGTGTGAGGCTTGACGCTGCACCGACCTTCAAAGTCTTCTCTTTACCCAGGTCGAGCTCTTACAGCAGGGGAAGACAGCCAGCTGGTAAACTTTCCCCTGTGATGGTTATAGCTGTCATCATGGCATAATATATTGAGCATACTTGTTAGATATGACTCCACTTCTCCAAGACTCATCATGGTGGTTAAAGACCTGGTTTAGGTCATATTCATGTTCCGCGAGTCATCATGTACTTGGTCGTAAGAGTTCCTCGAAGGAAACACTTGCTAATACCACTGACAGGCAGCTCCCTCCCTTGTTGAACACATGTAAACCATTGAATGTTTGACGTATCTCTGGTATTCAAACATTTAGCAGTTACGAGTTGAAGGATGCAACAGAGGCTCTATCATCTTGCATGTTCTCTAGCCTCTTACAAGACCTCTAGCATCTTGCAAGACCTCTAGCACGTTGCAAGTTCTCTAGCATCTTGCAAGTCTTCTAGCATCTTGCAAGTCCTCTAGCATCTTGCAAGTCTTCTAGAATCTTGCAAGTCCTCTAGCATCTTGTAAGTCTTCTAGCATCTTGCAAGTCCTCCAGCATCTTACAAGTCTTCTAGCATCTTGCAAGTCCTCTAGCATCTTGCAAGTCCTCTAGAATCTTGCAAGTCTTCTAGCATCTTGCAAGTCTTCTAGCATCTTACAAGTCTTCTAGCATCTTACAAGTCTTCTAGCATCTTGCAAGTCTTCTAGCATCTTGCAAGTCTTCTAGCATCTTGCAAGTCCTATAGCATCTTGCAAGTCTTCTAGCATCTTGCAAGTCTTCTAGCGTCTTGCAAGTCTTCTAGCATCTTGCAAGTCTTCTAGCATCTTGCAAGTCTTCTAGCATCTTGCAAGTCTTCTAGCGTCTTGCAAGTCTTCTAGCATCTTGCAAGTCTTCTAGCATCTTGCAAGTCTTCTAGCGTCTTGCAAGTCTTCTAGCATCTTGCAAGTCTTCTAGCGTCTTGCAAGTCTTCTAGCATCTTGCAAGTCTTCTAGCATCTTGCAAGTCTTCTAGCATCATGCAAGTCTTCTAGCATCTTGCAAGTCTTCTAGCGTCTTGCAAGTCTTCTAGCATCTTGCAAGTCTTCTAGCATCTTGCAAGTCTTCTAGCATCTTGCAAGTCATCTAGCATCTTGCAAGTCTTCTAGCATCTTGCAAGTCTTCTAGCATCTTGCAAGTCTTCTAGCATCTTGCAAGTCTTCTAGCATCTTGCAAGTCTTCTAGCGTCTTACAAGTCTTCTAGCATCTTGCAAGTCTTCTAGCATCTTGCAAGTCTTCTAACATCTTGCAAGTCATCTAGCATCTTGCAAGTCTTCTAGCGTCTTGCAAGTCTTCTAGCATCTTGCAAGTCTTCTAGCATCTTGCAAGTCTTCTAGCATCTTGCAAGTCTTCTAGCGTCTTACAAGTCTTCTAGCATCTTGCAAGTCTTCTAGCATCTTGCAAGTCTTCTAGCATCTTGCAAGTCCTCCAGCATCTTACAAGTCTTCTAGCATCTTGCAAGTCCTCTAGCATCTTGCAAGTCCTCTAGAATCTTGCAAGTCTTCTAGCATCTTGCAAGTCCTCCAGCATCTTACAAGTCTTCTAGCATCTTGCAAGTCCTCTAGCATCTTGCAAGTCCTCTAGAATCTTGCAAGTCTTCTAGCATCTTGCAAGTCTTCTAGCATCTTACAAGTCTTCTAGCATCTTACAAGTCTTCTAGCATCTTGCAAGTCTTCTAGCATCTTGCAAGTCTTCTAGCATCTTGCAAGTCCTATAGCATCTTGCAAGTCTTCTAGCATCTTGCAAGTCTTCTAGCGTCTTGCAAGTCTTCTAGCATCTTACAAGTCTTCTAGCGTCTTGCAAGTCTTCTAGCATCTTGCAAGTCTTCTAACGTCTTGCAAGTCTTCTAGCATCTTGCAAGTCTTCTAGCATCTTGCAAGTCTTCTAGCGTCTTGCAAGTCTTCTAGCATCTTGCAAGTCTTCTAGCGTCTTGCAAGTCTTCTAGCATCTTGCAAGTCTTCTAGCATCATGCAAGTCTTCTAGCATCTTGCAAGTCTTCTAGCGTCTTGCAAGTCTTCTAGCATCTTGCAAGTCTTCTAGCATCTTGCAAGTCATCTAGCATCTTGCAAGTCATCTAGTATCTTGCAAGTCTTCTAGCGTCTTGCAAGTCTTCTAGCATCTTGCAAGTCTTCTAGCATCTTGCAAGTCTTCTAGCATCTTGCAAGTCTTCTAGCGTCTTACAAGTCTTCTAGCATCTTGCAAGTCTTCTAGCATCTTGCAAGTCTTCTAGCATCTTGCAAGTCTTCTAGCGTCTTACAAGTCTTCTAGCATCTTGCAAGTCTTCTAGCATCTTGCAAGTCTTCTAGCATCTTGCAAGTCATCTAGCATCTTGCAAGTCTTCTAGCATCTTGCAAGTCTTCTAGCATCTTGCAAGTCTTCTAGCATCTTACAAGTCTTCTAGCATCTTACAAGTCATCTAGCATCTTGCAAGTCTTCTAGCATCTTGCAAGTCTTCTAGCGTCTTGCAAGTCTTCTAGCATCTTGCAAGTCTTCTAGCATCTTGCAAGTCTTCTAGCATCTTGCAAGTCTTCTAGCGTCTTACAAGTCTTCTAGCATCTTGCAAGTCTTCTAGCATCTTGCAAGTCTTCTAACATCTTGCAAGTCATCTAGCATCTTGCAAGTCTTCTAGCATCTTGCAAGTCTTCTAGCATCTTGCAAGTCTTCTAGCATCTTGCAAGTCTTCTAGCATCTTGCAAGTCTTCTAGCATCTTGCAAGTCTTCTAGCATCTTGCAAGTCTTCTAGCATCTTGCAAGTCTTCTAGCATCTTACAAGTCATCCAGCATCTTACAAGTCTTCTAGCATCTTGCAAGTCCTCTAGCATCTTGCAAGTCCTCTAGAATCTTGCAAGTCTTCTAGCATCTTGCAAGTCCTCCAGCATCTTACAAGTCTTCTAGCATCTTGCAAGTCCTCTAGCATCTTGCAAGTCCTCTAGAATCTTGCAAGTCTTCTAGCATCTTGCAAGTCTTCTAGCATCTTACAAGTCTTCTAGCATCTTACAAGTCTTCTAGCATCTTGCAAGTCTTCTAGCATCTTGCAAGTCTTCTAGCATCTTGCAAGTCCTATAGCATCTTGCAAGTCTTCTAGCATCTTGCAAGTCTTCTAGCGTCTTGCAAGTCTTCTAGCATCTTACAAGTCTTCTAGCGTCTTGCAAGTCTTCTAGCATCTTGCAAGTCTTCTAGCGTCTTGCAAGTCTTCTAGCATCTTGCAAGTCTTCTAGCGTCTTGCAAGTCTTCTAGCGTCTTGCAAGTCTTCTAGCATCTTGCAAGTCTTCTAGCGTCTTGCAAGTCTTCTAGCATCTTGCAAGTCTTCTAGCATCATGCAAGTCTTCTAGCATCTTGCAAGTCTTCTAGCGTCTTGCAAGTCTTCTAGCATCTTGCAAGTCTTCTAGCATCTTGCAAGTCTTCTAGCATCTTGCAAGTCATCTAGCATCTTGCAAGTCTTCTAGCGTCTTGCAAGTCTTCTAGCATCTTGCAAGTCTTCTAGCATCTTGCAAGTCTTCTAGCATCTTGCAAGTCTTCTAGCGTCTTACAAGTCTTCTAGCATCTTG